AAGAATATGTATGTTATGTAACGTAGGACTAGGAGCTAACCTAGCTCAACCGATGTCGACGTCGACCGGTCCAGCTCAGCCACCGCCGATTGGTTACCCGACGAGAGAACCGACTCATGGTTCGGTGGCTCCGGTTAAAGTTGAGACCAAGTCGAAGGGTGATGGATTCTTAAAAGGCTGGTAAGTAATTATTATCATGTAATTTATAGTACAACGTAATTATCCTTAATGGGCTGATTGATTAAACCCGAATTTTGGGATTTTGATTTATTTGTTTGGAATTTTTTTTGTTTGTAGTCTTGCGGCCATGTGTTGCTGTTGTGCTTTGGACATCTGCTTCTAAGAGTTACAGTTTAAACATTGGAATGGTTTTTATTTACGACACGACTTGTTTGAATGTGACGTGAATTATTCTCTCCAGCCTTGTTGTAAAGATATTCTGTTGTTGGTTTATTATTTTCTTGTAAGATTTTATGAGTTTTGTTTGCTTGTAAAAAAAAAAAAAATACTTATGGGTTTTTATTCGGACATATTGTGGTTTATATTTGAATCTCTTGTATTGTAAATTCATTTCTCTTGTTCTTGGGTTTGTATCACTAATTAAAGGAGGGTTTATATAGTAATCAAAGGAGAGTTTGTACTTTGTAGGATTAGATTATGAATTAAAAATGTAAACAATAATCGGCGAGATTCGATTATTTGTTATTTATTAGAATTTCATACTCCATCTCTTTCAAAATATAAATTGTTTTAACTAAAAGCGCGGATATTTCTACTAAAAAATATTATTTAATATATTTATTAAAAATAATTTGACCAATCATACAAAATACTGCAAAATATTAGTGGTCACACAATATTCAATAAAGTTAAAAAATATCTAAAATTGTCAAAACAATTTACATTTTGAAACAAAAAAAAAACTTTTAATACAACTTACATTTTGAAACGGAAGGAGTTCATATTTAAAATTTGGTGTTATCATGGTAACGATAGATAATGAATCTTACGCCCTTTTAAAACAAAAATATAATTACCACAATTATCACGATAGATGATCAATCAATTTTAACAAAACTTGAAGATCAGTAGATTCAGATATGTAACTTCAATCGACCTTTTGACAAGACAAAATCCATTTTGTTTGTTAATTAGAAGAAAAAAAGTAACCCTAAAAGTCATTGCTCCTCTCCCAAGTAACAAACCCTACTACGCTGCTATCTAATCTTTGGTTATTTGAATTGAGTTTGCTCCAAACCGGCATTGTAAAGCTTGACCTGTTCCTCTATCGTCTTCTTATTCGTCGCAATTGG